GTCTTAGATATGCCACTGCTTGTACTAGACCCGATATTGCATATGTCGTAGGATTATTATGTATTTTACGAGTAGACCGAGTAAAGAGCATTGAAAAGCTATTGAACGAGTCATGAGGTACCTCAAAAGGAACATGGATCTCGGCCTACATTATCAAAAGTTTCCTGCTGTACTAGAAGGGTACAGTGATGCAGATTGAAATACTTTGTCAGATGATTCCAAAGCTACTAGTGGCTACATATTTAGTATAGCTGGAGGAGTTGTATCTTGGAAATCAAAGAAACAAACTATCCTAGCTCAGTCCACAATGGAATCTGAGATGATAGGACTAGCCACAGCTAGTGAAGAAGCAAGTTGGTTGAGATGCTTGCTAGCTGAGAACCTTTTATGGGAAAATCTATGCCAACTATGTTGATCCACTGCGATAGTACCACAGCTATTGCAAAAAATTGAGAATCGTTATTATAATGGTAAAAGACGTCAAATAAGAAGAAAACACAGCACTATCAGAGACTATGTCTCTAAAGGAGCTGTAAGAGTGGATCATGTATGCACTGATGAAAACTTAACAGATCCTTTGACGAAAGGATTAGCCAGAGAGAAAGTCTATAATACATCCAAGAAGATGGGACTAATGCCTATAAAGAAATGAGTTGCTCATGATGGTAATCCGACCTAAATGATTGGAGATCTCAAGAAATAGGTTCAATGGATAACAACAAGTTATGAGTAATATGAGATGATCATGCAAGTAAAGCATGAATCCTGAAGTAATAAGAGGATGAGATAATAGAAACTCTTAATAAGATCTATACTCTGTATGAGGGAGTACCTAGGCTACATGGGTACTCTTGACAGAATCACCTATGTGATTGTGAAACTTAGGTCGGTTCCTATAAAATTTCGAGGCAGAATTCCTAGAGCCTTCATTAAACTGGGATACACGTGCAAGGCCATTAAAGTACGAGCTATTAGAATACACCTTAAGAAAAAGTTGTGTGTCGATTTGATATATGAGATAGAGTTCAAGACATTTGTGTCACTCTTGTTGAATTGGAATCATACTTGCTATGTAAATGTTCAAGTCATAGACACATTTGTTTATGCACAATCTTAAAAACGTTTGACGTTACTTCTAAAATCAATTTTTTTAACTCAAGTGGGGGATTGTTGAAACATGTCCATGTTTCAATATGTTGAATTTAAAAATTTCTCAAGTCCCACATTGTTAGAATATCTTTTTGGTTGAAAAAACCATTTAGTCCCACATTACTCATATGAGAAATATTAACTAGCTTACTTCACTATATACGGAGTGCACATGTTTCATTCTAAATTACACCAAAAACTATTCTATTAGTTTTTCTTTCTTCACTCTCATAACTCTGCGTCTCTCGAATTGTCGAAGCGTCATCTTCTTCCCCTTTCTTCCTACTCGTTGAATTTTCCGAGTATTTTCTTGAATTCTCTTTAGAGAATTATGTTAATTTCTCCTCATTTAAGTTGAGAAATTTTCAAGTTTAATTTTTTAGATTCTCTTTGGAGAATTATTTGAATTTCTCTTTGTTGGAAAAATTATTATGAATGGTCAAATGATTATTATTAATTTTTCTTTGGAGAATTACTTGAGTTTCTTTTTATTTGAGAAATTATGACGGGTCTTTGTACCAGATATTACCAGAGGTGTTGATATCATATTTGAATGGTCTTGTACCATCAGAGAGTGTATTACTATACTGATTATCTACCATGCAATTAGTAATTGTACAGTATAGAAAGAACTGGACTGTTTTATCCTGGAGGCAGCGCGGTAGTTCGACTGTTTTGCATAATTTTGAGCAGTGTCACAAAACGTCTTAAAGAAAACGACTTAGTCCGCGACTCAACTTTATAATTTCTTCGGTAGCAAATATTTTAAAATCCGAAAATAATATATATGAAAAAGAAATTAAGAGTACTGATGAAAATCAAGGTGAAAAAACTTAGCAGTTTTGATATTATAAAACAAATGAAGTCCTAAATATACATTAAATAGAGTTAGTGGTAGTGGTGGTGTAGTTATAGTGAAATATGAAACTGTTTTTTAAGTGTACTATTTTATATACGTGTGTAGCCAATGGAATAGATTTTAATGGATAATTGGAAATCAGTAAGGAGACATTTTTGTGTCAAAATTAAATATTATATATTATCAAATAGAACTAGAACTGAATATACAATAAATAGATTTAGGTCTCTCCTACTTTTTAACCATTTTTAATATATCTTATTAGTATTTTTTAAATTAAAATTAAAAATTAATTAATATTTATAATTACTAAATTAACCTTAATTTTGACTCCAATTTTTTTTTTAAAAGACTTAACAACTTTAATTAATAAAATTTTAAAAAAAATATTTAAACTAATTTTTTATTTAAAACTTTTTTTAAAAAACAAATTCTAAATTTTTTTCGACAAAAATATTTAACACTGAAAATTAGCTTTTAAAAAAGTAATTAAAACAAACAGGTTAGCTGCAAAAATATTTGATGCATTGGACACAAATTTGGGCAATATGATTCTTCACATAATATATGTAATTCTTATCTGTTAGACAAAAATAAAACACTTAACTATTCATCATTTGAAAAAATAAATTTTGTATTCAAATTTATTAAATAAGTATACAAAATATTTTAAATGAAAGAAAAATAAATAGACTCTAGTTTCAAAATAAACACTCACCTCAGTTAATTATTTAACTGATGACAAACAGACAACGTCCGTGCAGTGTTATATAGATAACCAAAGACAACAACAAAAACAAGTGAAAAGAAACCGAAAGAGAATAAGGAAAAGAGTATTATCTCCTAACAAGACGAAAAGAGAAAAGATGTGCGGTGGTTGGGTCATGAATTTACAGAATTCCTTGTCACAATGCTTGTGTGAGTCTTGTAGATGAGAGTTTAGTTTTTAGCTTGTTGGGTAAACTGTGTTATTGACACTGGTGAGGGGACAAATGCATTACTCAACTATTAAATATAGTTAGAGGATCTCGGTTGCAGTGTGTTGGTTAACCTGTGAGAATTCACATGGCTTTCTCACGAGGGAAGAAAGTTGTTATTTGTTATGGGAGGCACAATATATGTATCTTAGAGGAGGTCAATGTGATTTTTCCTTTAAATCATACCTAAAAAATGAATATACTCAGCTTTCGGAGAACCATTTAAAACAGAAAGCTAATCTCACAAAATACATGCAATGCAATGCAAATTATCTTAACCGGATTACGAATACCACATCATAAATTACTCAACTTGATGCAAGCATGTTTATCTCTTCAGCATAGGTAACATCAGCAGTTCAACTTTCCAGCTTCCTTATCAGTAAGAACAACTTCTGATCTACTGCAAACTTGACACAGTGGGAAGGGTCCCCTCTTAGCATCAGCTGAAGTCCGCCAAATGATGCACATACCTCCCTGGAGCAAAAGATAAAAGAACTCGGTTAGAGAATTGGCCAGTCTCATAAAACAAGACAAAAAATAAGCCAATTGAATCATACATTTCCAAATAGAAACAAAGTAGAAGAAACTACTCAATTTTCAGTGATAAAAACAGATTGACATGCAAAGATATCACAATTAAGGCCGATTATGGGTAAATCAAAGTATTTTGTGATGAATCATGTAGAATGACAAAACATTGTAACAACTTATATTCATAGGTGACATTTCTGATGAAAATAAAAAGGAGTAATATCATACAAATACAACAATATAACATTGAGAAACATTTACATACACTTCAGGTGGAGAACGTGAAAGCCCGTCAGCTGTAATGTCATATAACCTTCCATGCATGATGTATTCGAACTTTTCTTGAATTGAAACTGGGCCATCCTGGAGGCGAAAACAATTCAAGTAAAAGCAAATATCTATTACTTGAGACAAATAAAATCATTTAAACCGCTTTAACAAATATCCATTCAAGATAACGTGGAACAAACATTATCCTAATTGAAAAGCTCAAAAACATAATATTGTAATTATAATTTGTTTTTACTTCTTACAAATGAGACCAAGAAAAAAAATCCTTCTTATTAATGCTACACCAAATTGGACTTTTCCGTCAAATGATCAAACACAGTGTTTCTTCTACCAAAGTTGGACTCTTTCCTTACCAAACACCGTTTGTTTTTCTACCAGATCGAGCCTCTTTAGGTGCTTTATAATAAAATGTTTGGAACCCAAACGAAACTATAATAAGAGGTCACAAATACGCAATCGAGCCTAACTTGTTTAATCCATCACATGCATTAGTTAGCGCCACTAGAAAGAACTAACACAATCCAGATAATTTGTGGGATCGAAAGAACGGTTTTATCGGATGGGTCCACAAACAAATATTAAAGCATGGAACCACAAATGGAATGATGATTAACTTTACCTTGGTATTCAAAACAAGAGACGGAGACAAAGCCAACAAGAATCTTTCCTTTCTGTTGATAGGATAAATCTCTGTATTTACATCTAGAAGCATGTACATGTTATGCTTCTCACTTCGTGCAACAATCCGAGAAACTACAAGAACACAGTCATGAAATTGTAAGTTCATGCCAACTTAAACTTTTATTAATTCACAAAGTCATATTGCATTGGCGGCAGCATCACTCATGCTTAGTTATTGTACAGTATAATATAACTTTTGCTTTTTCTCAATTAAAAAAAAAAAACTAATTCAAGTTTCAACAGAATCTAAACATGAGAAAAATAAGCGCATGTGCTTATCAAAATAAGCACTTATGAATAAGTTTGCATAAGCTAGTTTTATAACAAAAATAAAAAGAGACGCATTTGCACATACCTTTGTCATATTTTTTACCATCTGGATCAACATCCTCAACCTTAAAAAAATCATCGAAAAAAAGCTCACTCATCCTTGTGAGTCAATTAGGTTTGCTTGAATCTCTCTCCAAATTCGAAGATTCTGACTGAACACAGATAAAGTAAACATTAGGTCATACTTCGTATGCTTTCGCGGCCGTATATCGCTGCGGAATGGCGTAGTCGCGCGCTACGGCCGCGCCGGGAGAGGGGAAGGGGAAAAGGAGAAGAGGAAAACCTGGATGAGTCGGTGACTTTTTCCGGCGGCTGACGAGTGACGCGACCTCAACTTCACATGCGTTGTGATGAATGAGAAAAGTGGCACCGAGGTTTTGTTTTGTTGGGTTTATGGGTATGGATCCGCTCCATTTGAGGACGAAATCACAATCTTCGTACCCTATCTAAATGACATGTGGCGTATACATTTTTAATGCCTTACATCAAAATTTTAAAGCTTTTGTTTTTTTTTTTCAAAACTTTTCTATTTTCTTTTAAGTCATTTCTATCACTCTCATTCTTACTCTTCTGTCTCTCTCTCCTTCACCAAATTTCTCACTCTACTCTTGTCTAAAAAATAACTCTCACCAAAGCTCTTTGAATGACGACATACCAAGAATATTCGCAAGAATATTCTTAGTCAAAGACATATGGATTATAGTCGAAGCTCTCAAATCTAGTTCCTTCCACTTCTCGTTGTCTATTTTGGAAATGTTTCTTTTGAACGCTTTGTGTAATCCTAATTTATCAAAACATCTTAGACTTGAATTTTCCACAAGACAAAATTGATTCTTTTATCAAATTTCTCTAAATCAATCTTCACTACACTTGAAAAACTTGACATTGCAACCAAAATCTTTCCTGCAACAATCCAAAATTTTACCAACCAACACAGAGTATAAAAATTATTTTCTGATGTGGAAGATCAGACAAAACTGCAACCACAGAGCATACTAATATTTATACCCCACCAAAACAGACTTTGTTACCACTTGCTAGAAAAATAAATAAAACATAGAGAAAAAAGAGGAATAAAATAACAACATAAGAGATTAATGTGGAAACTCCAAAATCAGAGAAAAAACAACGACCGTTGTCAATTGATAACTAGAGAATATCACTATGTGAAAATTGTTACAACGTATAGACTACCCTCAAACACCCCAAGGCCCAATACATCCACACTCTCCAAAGCAAATATTTAACTACCTCTCACAACAATATAAAACAAGGGTATGAGAGAAAATAAAAATTCAAATACAAACTTAAAGTGTTTTTGACTGGTCCATTTGGTAAAGAAAAACTTGAATCATATATATAGCCTTGAACTCTCTCTTCATTCTTTAAACTTATCGATGTGAGACTTGGAAAAACATTAATTCTATATATAGTCTTGGACTCCCTATTCCTTTACAAAAATAAGCAATGTGGGACTTCTTCAACATGTATATTTTCAGTTAACCCCAACAGTCCCCCCTTGATTGAAAATAATACATTAACTTTCATTGTCTTCACCAACAATCTTACTTCACCATAAAGAGTATAATAACTTGAAGCTACACCACTCCAAGAATTTTCACCTTGCCTTCATCGACAATAATAGTTTTGAAAACTATTATACTCCACCTAAAGAAGAGTTTACTTCACTTGAAGCTAAAGCACTTCAAGAATTTTCACATGCTGAAAACCAGGTTAAAAGTTTATGGTGCAACTTCAATATTGGTAGGTGTTGTACCCCAAAATTTTCCTCTTTCTTTTTGACCTAAATGGCTTATATTTTGTCATACACATTCATAGATTTGAGATGGGATCAAGGAATTCTTGTCTCCTTGGTCTTCTTCAAGCTATAGAAGATGGTTGAGTTGATAACCAATGCCAAAAGGGTCTCATGCCCTCACTCTTTGGGTCATTCAAGCTACAAGGGTTTCTCATACCTCAAGACATCTCAATTGTCTTATTGGTTCATTAGAAGATTGAATATTGCAAGAGTATTAAAGTTAAACACATTTCTCCTATCCATCTCTTGAAATTAGGGTTTTGGTCAATTGAAGTGTGTGGTGCTTGTATGAGTTAAATTTTTGAAGCAACATCCTCTCATCTTCATATGAGACATTTTTGTTCAAAAAAGTTCTTCATCATGTTCCAAGGAATTAGGGTTTTGAGGCTTGATCACCATCTCCTAACACAAGTGATCAAAATTAGGGTTTGTGTTTAAACTATGTTATCTCTGACTTTTTGAGCTACACTTGATTCCATGCTTCTCAACATGTTTCTAAGCACCTATGATTGAAAGACTAAGCATAAAATTTGATTGGAAGAGATTCAATTGATCAATTGAGGGTAAAATTATCATTTTGACAAAAGTCAACAAAAGTCACAGTTGACCAAGTAAACTTTTGGACAACACTCAATTCAATATCCATATTTTCATGTTACATGATCATTGATGGAAGAAAATCAAGAGAATGATTGAATTTGGAGCTAACTTGTCAAAGAAGTTATCTTTATAACTTTGAAATTTTCTAAGTTATAAGATCTTTCATTTTCATTTATCACTTTTTTGAATAACGGTAACTCTTTCACTTTTAATCAGAAATTTTCAAGCTCATAGTCATTGGAAAGAGGAAGTTTCAAACTTCATTTTCGTCCTTAAGGACCTATTTCCTAAAAGTGCCTGGATTTTGAGTTATGAGGCTTGGAAGGTGGGTGTTCATAAACTTTTGAATAACCAACACTTAGTGAAATTTCTGGAGCATTTGATCAGTTTTGTATACAAGACTTCATGGCCCATTTTCCCTATGATCAAAGCTTTGATTTGAGATAAATTCAAGACCAATCTTACTCCTTGTTGTGCCAATTTTCTAAAGTTCCAAGAATCATTTTATTTGATCCACAAAATCTCAAGCTATCTTGTTTAGAAGTTAGGCATTCAGATTTGTGATTTTACCAATATTTAGTGAGGTGCTGATATTGCTTTGATCAACATCAAGTGTATGTTTTTTAGGTAAATTTCAATATGCTTCTAAGCTCTATTTCATTTTTCTTCCAACATGAGTCTTGTTCCATATGATGTTAGATTTTCAAAAAGTTCAAAAATATTTTCAATTAGCCTTGAGTCGAGTGAGTTATGGAGGATACAACATGGCTGGCTCGTGCTTTGGTTGATAAACAATGTCATTAGTTTATGCATGACACTCACATTTTGATGCAAAGAAACTTACTCATACCACAACCACATGTATCCCACTATTTTTCATTACCCAGAGAAGCTAAACAAAGGAAAAAGATACATGCATACGTAGAGGATTGGTTTTTTTTATAGAAATTTCTGTTAGTACACACTGGCTCTCTCTAATTCTCTATGATAGCTCATCATTTCCTTGCAGCATTTGCTCACTAAAACACAATAATAGCATGCCATCACATGAATGAAACACGACTCACCTTCACACTTTCTCCATTTTGACAAAAATGCCAAACCTTCCCTCCAATTATTTTCTGACCACAATTAATTTATTTCTTCATTCTACTCTCTCTATTTAACTCAACTCATCACCCTCATTATACACACAAAAAAGAGATTGCATTATGAGAGAGAGAAAATAGATCTGAGGAATTGTCATCTTCTTCAAGCAAGCTTTCATCAGGTTGAAATTTTTCTTCAACCTCTCTTCACTATTCTCTCCATTTGAATATCTCTAAAGATTCAAACCAACTCTCTCTAGGTTTCTCACTCTCTTTTCTCAAAAACAAGGGGCAGTGGACTCATTCCACTAGGTAATCGAATCTAAACTACATAACTCTCCTCCTCATGATTGCATTTCATGGATCTAAGAACTTCATGGTGATATAACAATGTTCATGTGCATTAGTTGGCCACACAATACGTGTGATGTATATTGTTTTGTGGAATATGAGTTTGTGTTCATGTTTGAATGTTCTGAAATTTGTTTGAATCTGTAACTTTGAACACCAATATCTCCTTGATTCAATGGTAATTTGATGTTTTAGTTGATTCTATGTTATTCTTTGAAGTTTGATCTTCAATTTTGGTTTTAATTTCACTCGATTTCATGGAATATTCAGAAAGATATGAAGCTTTGAACATGTGAAGAAAAACTGGAAAAAACACGTGTTAGGGTTTTGTCTCAACAACAGGGACGATGACACGTCTTTTTTTTAATTGGTTTAGGGATCTTGCTTTTCGCAACGCTTTTTTACAATAACAACTATTATATGTTTATTTCAATTTCAATTTTCTTTTTATTTCAATTAATTTCTTCATTTTTTTAATACTTTTCTTCATCCAAAAATTATCAACAAAAAAAAGTGTCAAGTCCCATACGCGACAGTAGAAAGCTCTTTAACCATCAATATAATCTCACAACACAGTTTGCATCAATGCCCATGTGTTAATCCTCTAGCAATAACATGTCATTTTCCATGACAACGGAAATATCATGAGGACACACTTCTCAATTTTCAGACAAGATCATTCCCTCTCACAATGAGAGAGACATTGCTAGCATTTAACTCAGAGCCCTTCTCAGACGCTGCCCCATTAGGACACTTATACTTTATATATCCAATCTTTCCACATTTCCAACATCTCACACCTGTTTCATTGTTTTTCTTCACATAAGGCCTTCCTCTAGCAACCAACACTAAGTTTGATGAGTTATTATCCTAACCTTTCAATTTTTGTCTTTAGAAATAATTATACTAGCAACTAATTCAAAACTCAAAGTTTCCTTCCCATATATCAAAATTGGTTTAATATGCTCATAGGAAGATGAAATAGATCATATGAGTCTCAAAGTTTTATCTTCTTCATCAATCTTGACTCCAACAGTTTCTAATTCATAAACAATACCATTTAGAACACTTAGATGATCAGATACTTTTGTATGTTCATCAATACACAATCCATGAAATTGCACCTTCAAGAATAAACAATTTGATATACCATTTCCTTGATATAGCCCTTCAAGTTTCTTCCAAAGCTCTTTGGCTGACGACGTACCAAGAACATTTACAAGAATATTATTAGCCAAATACATGCAGATTATAGCCGAAGCTCTCAAATCTAGTTCCTCTCACTTCTCATTGTCCATTTTGGAAACATCTCCTTTCAATGCCTTGTGCAATCCTAATTTTATCAAAACATTTTGGACTTGAATTTTCCACAAGCCAAAATTGATTCTTCCATCAATTTTCTCTAACCCAATCTTCACTGCACTTGAAAAACTTGACATTGCAACCAAAACTTTTCCTGCAACAATCCACAATTTTCTCAACCAACACAGAGTATAAGACTTCTTTTCTGCAACCATAAAGCATACTAACATTTATGCCTCACCAAAATAGGCTCTGATACCACTTGTTAGGAAAAAAATATAGAGAAAAAAGAGGAATAAAATAATAATATAAGAGATTAATGTGGAAACTCCAAAATCAGAGAAAAAAATCATGACCTTTGTCAAATGACAACCATAGAATATCACTATGTGAAAATTGTTACAATACATAGACTACCCTCAAACGCCTCAAGCCCCAATACATCCACACTCTCCAAAGCAAATATTTAACTACCTCTTACAATACTCTAAAACAAGGGTATAAGATAAAATAAAAAATCAAACACAATTTT